TGTTCAATTTATAATCCTATCAAAGACATTGAAGAATGTAGCATACTCTTACATATATTCAACGACTATGTTGTTTTGAAATTGATAACATCTAGAATTCCATACTGAGTTAAACTAGTTTTTCTGTCCCCATAAGTTTTCTGCACTAACCATCAACTCTACGACTTTACTTTTTCACACGGTCAGTATCACACAAAATCTTAAATGTGTTTAAATTCTTCCTGAAGATGGTCAAAAAAAAAAAACGCTACTTCTTTTTATAGTCTTTACTTAACTTGGCTATAATGGTTTAAATACTGAAAATCAAAAGGTTTATATTTCCGTCAGGTAACTTCAATCAATGTTTTAAGACGTTTGATGATATAGCTTACAGTGGGGCGCTCACTCCTTGACTTCCTGTTAATGTTGGGTCCCAATGCACCTTCATACGTGCATTCCCTTCACGTCTTCCTGAACCATATTCTCACTGTTTAGTTCTTCTCACATTCATAGCCTTTGTTTTTTTAATTTTTATTTGAACACAAATATTTGTACATAGGGGCACCGAATGCATATGAGTCACACAATGATTTGGATTTGTGCGTGGGCTGTGATACTGCTCGGGTACCCAGACCAAATCAGGTAGTTTTTTATAAGGCCACACCCAGATTTTTTGACCTAACGGTCTAATCCACAAGACAGTGGAGCAACGTTAGGAGATGCAATTCCATGGTAACCAGTGACCAACAATAAATTCATACGCCATTTGTTTCTTCAAGATCCTGGAGCTCATGTGCATCATTGGTTTGTAATCAGGATTTTCCAATCCCCTTAGGTGGTCTCTTCGTGTCTACCAACCCGGTTAAAGCGCCGTATATTCGATTTTCGTGTTAGGGATAATTGGAAGAAAGTTAGGGGCGACCAAATTAAAACGTGGCATTAGTGCTTGTAGTCACTAACATCTGGTTTGGGCCATGTTGGTAGATGCAGACTACTTGATTGGGGTCCGCGTGGCCATCGTAACCAATGGTTGGAGACTCTTGGTGACATGGCTCAGAATCGATCACAATGGCGTAGGTGTATACACTCGTCTTCCTTTCAACTAGGAGATTAAAATCGCTTCATATCTTTCGTTCTGCAAACTAATTCTTTCTTCCTGTACTATCTCCTTATATGCAGTCTTTCTTTTATATATTACCGCCATTGAATTGACTACTATGAATTCGGTGTTCATCTTGTTGTGCTAAGAAGGTATGTCAACTTGGACCGATGTATATACGTGCCTGGTCCTACGTTGCAGCTGACTGACTGAGGCTCGAGACTCGGTCGATAGGTTATATACTGGCTAAATATGGAAACCAAAGTATATTTATTCAGCGCAAATACTAGCAGTTCAACACACCTATTGAGTCTAGAGTACAAATCAATAATAGAAAAGAAGTCACATATTTAATAATAAATTTAGTGCCTGTTTGCCCACATTCAGTAGCCAATCACATTTTACTTTCATTGGCCACAAATCAAAAAGTTAATAAATTACTTTTATCGTTATATTTATTATTCAATTATAATGGTGAGAACTCTGCTTGTAGCTCTTCTAGAGGTACTGCCGGTCCAAAGCCCGGGTGATTGAAGACGGTTGGGTATGGAATTGGCAACCCTATCCCGTAGAAAACAACCTTGCTAAAAAAACGCTAACCAGAATAAACAAATTTTGACCACTTAAACTCTTCCCTACGAGTTGAAGGTTGAATTATGACGCCTCATAATGAAAGCCGAGATTCTTCGGAAGTCACGAAGCCGATACCCCTTCTAACAACTAGAGCAACAATTAATGTAGGTACATAGAATTTTCGGACAATGTGGGAGAACGGGAGGACTGATCAAATAGCAACGGAAATGATGAGATACAACTATGCGGTTCTTGGAATCAGCGAAATCCATTGGATCCAAGCTGGATAGCAAAGGTTAGGTACGGGAGAGACGCTGCTGTACTGCAGTCACGAAGAGGAAAACACCAACACTCAGGGAGTTGCTCTGATGCTGTCCAAAGAAGCACGAAATGAACTTATTGGACGGGAATCTGATGGATCCAGAATCATCGAAGCATCATTCAGAAGAAAAAAAGGAAGGAATTACAATGAATGTTATCGAGTTTTATACACGCACCAATAATAGCAACGACGACGTTGAAGATCAATTTTACGAGACGCTGCAATTGATCACAGCGAAGTGCCCAGGAAACGACCTGACAATCCTGATGGGAGATCTAAACACCAAAGTCAAGAATGCACACCAACGGTTATAAAGTTATCAGACGTAAGAAAAGGATAATGTCGGGAGTTTACGTCCCTATTCAAACTATTTACTTATCTTCAAAGTTGAATTCACGAATCAATCCAATCTGGACCACCATTGAAAAAATCCTAGAAGCACTGGACGGTCGTTTCGTCCTCGTAGATTCAACTTTGAAAATATTACAATCTCTACTATTCCTTAAAATTGATGTTTACCTATCATTGATTGATTAATAGAATGTAATAATTGAACTACTATTCACTGTATACTATTCTCCTTATCAAGTTTAGTTTTTTTTTTAGTTTGTGTCATATACACAACCAAAATTTGTTGCTAACAGGGCAATTACTTCATTTTTATCAAAAGGGGTTTTGTGAAATATTAACGTTTGCTCTGTCTTATTTTTGAGATTCATCTAATGATGAATAGATTATCTCACTTATGCTTCACATTGACGACTTCAATTTTGTGCATGTTTTGCATGTTTTAAATTGTATTCTCTTTCTAAATAATGAATTCAAACCATCGTTATTGTGTGCGCTTCAGATTATTGCATCGATCAATTAAGCAATATGTAACCACTAAACTTGAAAGTCTCATCGTCAACTGTATTCCATTTCTGTATAAAGTATATGAAGGGAATTGACAAGAAGTTCTGAATAGATCTCCTAGATTTTGTATAAGTTGAAACAAGACAAATTATAGTTGTTGGGTCACTGAGATTGTGTTGGATTTGTTTTAGCTGATTTATATTGAATACTGTGTATATCAGTGTGTCGATTAATATACTCATTGTTAAGGTCAGAAAAGTTGTTTGATGAACCTCCCACTGTGCTGATGTAATTCAACAACCGATACACATATGTATCAGGTTCTATGTTGCTTGCTTATCACTGATTGAATGAATTACGTATAACAATTAGTTTATCTATGTAAGTGTGTGAAGCTGAACAGTTATTCAGTGTTCTTTTGTTTTCGCTAAAGAGCAATCTCATATAATCTCGATTTCTACCAAATATCATGGAGAAATGAAACTTATCTCTAAGAAATATCTTGATAACAAGAGTTATTTATAGTTCCCTAGATGTTTGTCTAAATAGTTGAGATCATGAACCGATTGAAGGTAGACTACCATAGAAAGCCTGGAAGCATTGAACGGTCGTTCCGTCCTAGTTTATTTATTTATTTATTTATTTATTTATTTGAACATATAAATATTGGTACAGGGGGGCACCAAATATATATGCTCCACACAAAACAATGATAATTTGACATTGTCAAGAGTAGTTGTTTACTGATAGATTGTGTTCTTTAACAGAATACATATATGTACCACGCTCTATGTTGCTTGCTTATCACTGATTGAATGAATTACATATAACAATTAGTTTATCGTGTTTATCTATGTGACTGTGTGAAGCTGACCAGTTAGTTATCCAGTGTTCTTTGATTTTCACTATAGAGTAATCTCATATAATCTCAATTTCTACCAAATATCATGAAGAAATGAAACTTATGTCTACTACTTATCTTGATAACAAGAGTTGTTTGTATTTTTTTATTTTTATTATTATAAGCTTTATTCAACATTATATTTGTGGTACACTATTGAATTCTCAGCATAAAGTATTTCAACAAGTTTCCTTTTCTTATACCTTGATCGATCCTGACGATAAATATTGAGTGATGACCAGTTAGATGTTAGGAGTTCGATAATCGACATCTGAATAATGTTCATTCGTTTCAATGCATATTGCAAGTCACCATGATGTCGTTGGTTGTACCTTTTTGTAATCGTACCAGCGAAAGATTGTAAACTTTTCATAAACGCGCTTGAATAGGTTGTGAGCTCAATAGACATAATAGTGTGTTAAAAACAAACAAGAAAAACAGATAACTTGACGAAATATCTAGATGGGAGGAACAGGTAGCTCAGATATTCAAGCAGTAGTTCCCTAGATGTTTGTCTAAATAGTTGAGATCATAAGTCAATTGAAGCTAGACTACCATTATTATTTATTATTTTAACACATAAATATCGGTACAAGAATGCACCAAATACATATGCGCCACACAGATCTCATTTGATATGTGTGAGGGCTGTGATACTGCTCGGGTGCCCAAACCGAAGCAGGTGGTTTTCTTAGGGGACCACACCCCGAGCCTTCGACCTGAAGATCTGATCCACAAGGCAGTGGAGCATCGTGAGGAGATGCAGTCCCATGGTAGCCGGTGACCAAAAGTTGGTTCATACGCCATTTGTTCCCGCAGGATACTGGAGCCAGCCCATGTGCACCATTGGTTTGGGATCCGGTTATAGCGCCGGACATTCGCTTTTCGTCCTCTCATTTTTGTAAACAACACCCCCGCCACGAGAAGTCAGTGAGTAGGACTTCCCTGGCAGGGGCTGTATACGCATGGCCATATGAGAGCATTTCGAGAGGGGGAGCGGACTCTCCCCACTCTCGGCCGTACCAGGGCATTCGGGGGCCTAGACTACCATAGAAAGCCTGGAAGTATTGAACGGTCGTTCTGTTCTAGTACCCCATTTTTTGTCACTTCATAATTTTATCATTGTCAAGAGTAATTATTTACTAATCGATTATCTTTTTTAATAGAATACTAAGTTTGAATTTTTTTTTGTTTGTTTTAAATCTTTTTTCTTTAGAAATTTCCAATTAATTTATATATATACATACATATATACATATCATATTCTTAACATGGATATTCTATTTAAACCTTATCTATTTCGAATGATAAAATCTTATCAAGTTCCCATGACAACTACTTATCGATTTAATACATCTAGTGAAATATTCATATTAAATTCTAATAATATTTATCGTAATTTATCATTTGAAGAATGTTTATATTATGAAGGTGAAAACTATTTAAAATATTTAAATAATAAACCATTATGGTTTACAAAAATTTTATTATGGCGTAATACTTCTTGTATTGTAATTGGTCGATTTCAAAATGTTTGGAAAGAAGTGAATCTTTCATTATTACATTCTAATAATTGGAAATTAGCTAGACGTTATACTGGTGGTGGTGCTGTTTATCATGATCTTGGTAATTTAAATATAACATTTATTCAACCAAAATATTATTTGGATAGATATAAATGTATGAAATTTTTACAATCTGTTTTACAATCATTATTTATTACATCTAATTATTCTATACATATTGGTAATCGATATGATTTATGGATTTCAGATAATCAAACTAATATAAATACATTACAAGTAAGTTGTAGTGGTCAGTGTTCGATATATTCCTTAAACTTCGTATACAATTCGTCTCGGTAACCGTCACCAAAATAATGCTCCAATGGTATGTGAATCAGAAGGCGAATATGAAGTGTTAATTACGTTTATTAAGGGACCACACATAGATATCCAATATTATAGATGCGTTAAGCAAGCATGAAATAGTTATGCCGAAAAGCAAACAGGCAAGCAAGCAAGCGATCGAGCGAGTGAATGAACGAGCGAACGAGTCGTGAATATGAATAACATGGACATATATATACATAGTGAAATGAATGAATCATCAAGTCAATTAAGCGGTTAATAGTAAAGCTAGTAGCGTGAATAAATGCGTAAGCAGTAAGGCTTGCCGAGCATACATATTCATACAAGGATAACAATAATAAAGGTACATACATTCGCAACAATAATAAGGATACAATAAGTTATTATAGTGCAGGTGACTTTGTCCGTTTAATAAAGTGAGAGCAAACTCAATTGAATGTGAGTTGCTATAATGTAAGTGTTTATAGTTTTAATTATATTTTATAATCAAATATTAGTGATCTTTTTGATTGAGATCATGAATTGATTGATATTAGACCACTGTTGAAAACCTGGAAGTACTAGACGGCCGTTTTTTTCTAGTATGAGACTTTTCAGCAATGCGCATCCACGATCTCGCCACTCGCAGGATTCGAACCCAGGGCCTTGAGTTTCACGCGTAAATGCTTAACTTACTGAACCATTGAGCCGGCATTCAATGGTGTTAGTGTCTAGTATCAACCAATGCACGAAATTGAGAGACCATCTTTCATTGTTGTTGGGGTATTCAGAAAATACCCCAGAAATTATCTAATGCTATTCCTGAATGAGAAGTAGTGTCATTTCCCCATTGGTCAACATTCTTCCAACGTGTCATTTCCCTATTGGTCAATATTTATTTGTGTCATTTCCTGAAGGTTAAATCTTGTACAATCGTTACTTTCTATTTATGGTACGATGTAGTCTGTTTGTTTGGTATATAAACAGTGTATGTTTGAAATATTAACGATTCATATCTCCGAGGCTGAGACTTGTGTTCTGGACTCAATTGGCTGGGCTAGACAGGGAAGCAGGACCAATCAGGACTCTAGGCTGCTCGCTCGTGTTTTATGCGTCACTGTTTCGATCGATAATAGACTGCTCTCTAATAGGCGGATCACACGTTATAACAATTGTAATGAAGTAGATACCTGTCTTTCTACTCGACACGGATTAGCTCCACTGGTCATAGCTTCTCACTAGAACTCCGAGAATTCCAACGGTGGTCTAACATCAGTCGATTCATGATCTCAATCAAAAACTTAATAATCTCCACAACCCCAATACTGATGAGTGATCTGTTCTACATCAATGATAAACGTCTTAAAGGTGGGAAGTTGGAAGAATATTGTGGTGTGGGTTACTTATATCCACACAAGTAGTATATGACAGTGGTCAGGCACTGGATGTATTTCAGTAGAAGGTCAATGAACAAAGACCGGGAACGAAATGCAATTGGTAGGAAAATGCATGAACAATGAAATCTGAGACAATAGATGCCATCAAATGCCCTATCGAAATCCTGTCACACGGCCACGCGTATACAACCTCTGCCAGGGAAGTCCTACTCACTGACTTCTCGTGACGGGAGTGTTGTTTACGAAAATGAGAGGACAAAAACTGAATACCCGGCGCTATAACCAGATCCCAAACCAATGGTGAACATGGGCTCCAGCATGCTGAGGAAACAAATGGCGTATGAACCAATCGTTAGTCACCGGCTACCATGGAACTGCATCTCCTTACGATGTTCCACTGCCTTGTGGGTCAGACCTTAAGGTCAAAGGCTCCGGGTGTGGTCCCCTCAGAAAACCACCTGTTTCGGTCTGGGCACCCGAGCAGTATCTCAGCCCACACACAAGTAAAATTTTGTGTGGCGCATATATATTTGGTGCCTCTTTGTACCAATATTTATGTGTTCAAATAAATAAACAAAGAGACACTGGATTGATGTTTGCAATAGGAACAGTCAAGTTTAATATGATGGATTGATATTTTGCAAATTAACAATTTAATATATGGTTCTCAGATTTTATTGAAATGCTCTATAGATCTGTGCTCAAATACATTCGATTGTCCCCATTGGTGTTCTTGTTCACTACAATATCAATTTTACATTCAGTCAGACTATATAATCGGTAATTATATAGTAGAGATAACTTGTTTACCAGACATTATGTAGTAAACTTCACTAAAGTACTTTATTTGGCTACATTTGTCATCAATCAATTCGTTAAACTATGAACCTATCTTGGATAAAAGTGTTTAAATATATGGATTGATTCTTAACTGTTGACTAGTTTAACGTCGGTTAGAATGTGGATGTTGAAATGAAGGGAATAGATCATAACTTAACTTATTTATTTTGAATAGAACGAGTAGATATTTGACAGATTTTGTTTACTTGATGAATATTCTTGTTTCAACTAGCCAGTCTGTATAGTCTATTTATCCGTTTTCAAATAAGACCGATAAAGACTTTATTATCAGTATAGATTTATCGAGATTGTTGAGTTTTATTCAGACCACTAATTAATCTAAGACAGCTGTTCCAAACCTGAGAGCAGTGAACAAACACTTTGTCTTAGTGTGGAACTCCTCAGCAGTGCTTATTCGCGAAGTAGTTACTTATCGAAGACAATAGAAAATGATCTCGCAATACCATGGATTGTCTAAAATTATATTTGTAAATCACTTGGTCTCTGATCAGTAATCTAAAGGTCAAGCATTCACACGCGTGATTGAAGGTCCTGGGTTTGACTCCTGTAAGTGGGTTAATGTATTCGCGCTACTGAGGAATCCCACACTGGGACGAAATGGCCGTTCAGATTTTCAATGGACCATACATGATTTTCATAAGAGACTTTATTATCATTACGTTGCTTATCTTCTCTTGCATAAACATTTTCTATTAAGACAGATTATTGTTGTGTAAATCCAGAATTAGATTGAATTTTACAGTCAACTGACATATCAACGTAAATCCAATCTATTAAAATATCAGCTAAAATTTAATTACTTCTATAGTCAAAGGTTAATCTAACGAGATGATAATAGAGCTTTGCGAATGTAGCCAGTCTTCAACGTGGGTATAAGAATGGACAAATTTAGCGCTTGTAGAATAACTTTCTTGTGAGGCCCACTTTTACATGAACTAAGGTGCTAATGATTTTGTCCACAGAGTCAATAAAGTATTTCGAATTAAATTGTTTATTCCAGAGAACGTAACACCATCAAATACATTCATATGAATCGGCCCCCAAATGCCCTGATACGGTCGAGGGTGGGGAGAGTCAGCTCACCCTCTCGAAATGCTCTCACATAGCCACGCGTATACAACCACTGCTAGGGAAGTCCTACTCACTCCCTTCTCGCGGCGGGGGTGTTTACGAAATTGAGAGGACGAAAACCGAATGTCAGGTGCTTAAACGGGTTGGTGGATACAGAGGATCCATCTAGCGGAGTTGAAAAACCTTGATTCTAAACCGATGGTGCACATGGGTTTCAGTATCTTGAAGGAACAAACGGCGTATGAACTTATTGTTGGTCACCAACTACCATGGAATTGCATCTCCTGACATTGCTCCACTGCCTTGTGGATTAGACCTTTCGGTCGAAGACTTCGGGTGTGGTCCACTGAGAAAACCACCTGGTTTGGTCTGCGCACCCGGGCAGTATCACAGCCCATACACTAATCAAGTTCACTGTGTGGCGCATATGTATTCTTTGCCCCTTTGTACCAATATATATGTATTCAAATAAATGATACGCCTTCCTCACCTTAGCTAGAAATATTGTTTTTATTGGAATTTTCAGGGATTGGTCTCTTACTAAAAGATTCATCTATTAACATAGAATATCCAGATGATAGTTTTGTATGTTAAAAAGTTTAACCAAATTCAGTCTTCTGTTCACTTTGGACAACAGTCCAATGATATTAGTAATACTTTTCTCTCCTTTTAAATACAAAACGTTGCTTCAGGACTCGTCTTTGTCATCGCCTTGATCAATCAGATATTTAAGTACTAAACTTAGTTGACCACTTCACTTGTTATCATCAGTCTTGTAATCCTCGGGTAGATTGATGTCTGACTAAATCTCTATTAGCTTTCATCAACTGTCGTCAATTATGGCCTAAGAGGCATATCTGTCTACTACTGAGAACATAACAACAAGAAAACTATCTTATACATAACATTCAACGCTAAATACAATTGATTATTGCGCGATTAACAATTATTCGTGGATGCTCACTGCTGAGGAGTCCCATAATAGGACGAAACGGCCGTCCAGTGCTTCCAGGTTTTCCATGGTGGTCTAACTTCAACTGACTCATGATCTTAATCATTGAAATTACTACAACCTCCACAAAACTCCTTCTGATAATAATCGAAAATAGTTAGATAAAAGTCACTAAGCTATTAATTGAATCCTAGTCACATTACTAACTGTTAATGTATATTCACTGTTGAATAGGACTTTTATCGTTGTTATTTTTTTACTTTTAAATTATAGAATATGTTGAAAATATCCGGCTCTTCATCGAAATTCGGCGCTAATATGGCATATCATCATTGTACATTACTTTTTGATGCAAATTTAAACAATTTATCTGAAGTACTGAAACCGACTTTTGTAAGCTGTTCTCTTTTTCTGTTGTTCATGCATATGTATTTAGTTATTCTAACTCATTGATCAAGTACTTGGTTGAAGGTAGTCAACAGGAAACTCTGGAGCTAGGTTTTGTGCTACTTGGCACTCATCAGCAAGGTGTACCTATAATCTTGAGGAAACTGATGCTCTCTGACGGATTTGATTCCGTGTCACTCAGCTTTACAGTTAGAGACGTTACTACTGAGCTATCCGAGCCGTGACTGACCTCCTATAGGACTGAGATGTATTTACAATTGATTGATCATTGGGTGGTGATCAATATGATGGATATTAGGTCCTTCTTAGTGCAGATATATTGTTTATGTGAGATGCTTTTCTGGTGAACGGATGAAAGACTTCAAACTTTCTTAGTGTCGCATATCGATTTACTGGTAAACGCACAGTACACTGACAAACCAATCAAATTCAACTACTGCATTCACGCGGTGATTGAGCTTCTATTTGGTGATGATCTAATCGACCTGTATTGTCTAGAACACTCGTTCCTTTATGTTTTGTTATTCCATATAGGTCTATAAGGTCTGAGGATGTATTCATACTGTTCATTGCACAGAGTTTTGATCACAATAATACGTTTCAGATAATCAGCATTTTCATCCATTGCACCTTCTCACAACTAAAGGATAGGATAAGAAAAGGTCTATCTACACCACATCTTACCCCACTAATTTCCGTCTCCGGCGATGAGGCCGTCAAAATATGGAGCTGAAATATCAGGAACTATTTATAAAACGTATCGTAAGTGGTCTCAATCATCTGTCGTCTAGGCTCTTGGATCATTCTCCCAGGTTGTTTAACCAATATATGACTTGATTTCATCATTAAGTCCCTCAAAACGAATTATCGTTCTACTGTTCGAGGAACCAGAAATTGACAAATAGTTTCATACATGAAATCGTTTTGTTAGCCATCAAATCGTTTCTTCACTTCTTAATATCTCCTCTGTTTATACCCTATCAACCTTTACCTTCTTCTAAATATGCCGTGCCTAGATTATAAATATAGTTTAATGAATACTTTTTTTTTTAACAACCTCAGATTGATAAGCTCATAAGGCTTATTTTCTTAAGTCATTCATTAATTAATCAATTGGTCAGCATTGTAAGATCTGGTACTCATACACATCAACCTTAATAGTAGCACATCATATCATCATAACACATTAACAATATGAGTGAAGTAATGAGATTTGAAACTTGACTTAGAAACTGGAAAATGACACATTCACACACACACACACATACATACACTCAATTAATCTTTTTAACCAAGTTAACCAAGTGATGGTATTATATTAGAAAGAAACTATTATTAATAACATTCTACAGAATACAACAAATCAATTAACTTTTGAAATTATCTTAACAATACGGGTTCTAAGATTATTTCTTTGATAAGTTTATAAAACTAGAATGGGTTTTGTAGAGAATTGGTCATTTCAATAGTTGAAATCATGAATCAATTGAAGCTAGACCACCATGGAAAACCTGGACGGCCGTTTCGTCGTAGTATGGGACTCCTCAGCAGTGCGCATCCACGATCCCGCACCCCGCGGGATTCGAACCCAGGACCTATCAGTCTCGCGCCAGGCGCTTAACCAACTAGACCACTGAGCCGGCATCCAACGGTGTTAATGTCTAACTTCAACTAATCCACGAAGTTGCGCCACCGTCACCATTGTCTTCAGTGAGCTGATATCTCACAACAGACCTGGTTGAACTCCACTGGTCACGGCTTCTCACTAGAACTCCAGGAGTATCCCTTGAAGTCAGTCACTAGTGAGCAGATGATTATTACTAAAATGGGTTTTGTGGAGAATTGGTAGTTTCAACAGTTGAAATCATGAATCAATTGAAGCTAGACCACCATGGCGCGAGACTGATAGGTCCTGGGTTCGAATCCCGCGGGGTGCGGGATCGTGGATGCGCACTGCTGAGGAGTCCCATACTAGGACGAAACGGCCGTCCAGTGTTTCCAGGTTTTCTATGGTGGTCTAGCTTCAATTGATTCATGATTTCAACTATTGAAGTTTATAAAAGTAAGTTGATATTTTAATTGAGATCATGATTTAATCAATGTTAGATCACCATTAAAAAACTTGGAAGCACTAAGGCTCTTTATTAGTGCTCATCCAAGACTCCGCACGTTGAACTCGGATCCAGGATATTCGATTTCGTGTATGAACATTTAACCTGTAGACCATTGAGCCTATATTCAATGGTGTTAATGTCTAACTTCGATCAATCCACGATGTTGATTTATTATTTATTTATTTGAACACATAAATATTGGTACAAGAGGGCACCAAATATATATGCATCACACGATGAACTTGATATGTGTGTGAGCTGTGATACTGCCCGGGTGCCCAAACCGAAACAGGTGGTTTTCTTAGGGAACCATATCCAGAGCTTTCAACCTAAAGGTCTGATCCACAAGGCAGTGGAGCAATGTCAGGAGATTCAATCCCATGGTAGCCGGTGACCAACAATTTGTTCTCTCAGGATACTGGAGTCCATGTGCACCATTGATTTGGGATCCGGTTAAAGCGCCTGACATTCGGTTTTCGTCCTCTCATTTTCGTAAACAACACCCCCGCCACGAGAAGTCAGTGAGTAGGACTTCCCTGGCAGAGGCTATATACGCATGGCCGTGTGAGAGGATTTCGATAAGGAGGGCGGGCCCACCCCACTCTCTGCCATACCAGGGCATTCTCACTAAAACTACGATAATTACCTCTTGAAGCTAGTCACCAGTGAGCACATGATAATTATCAGTATAGGGTTATGCAGATTATTGAGATCATAAACTGAACTGATATCTGTTTAGTTAGGTTATTTATAGTAACCTACATACGCTTAGATAAAATGAATTTTACACTTGATTAAATGTTTTTAAATATCATAGTAACAAAATCACGTAATAGATTAGTAGGTGGGTTCGTGTTTATGGAAATTAACAACTTAATTATTACCTTAATTAAGTGAGACTGTAATTGATGGACGACCTTTAAGCGACACTGAAGTGACCTTATGAGTGTTCACCTAATAACTTGGACCAAATTAAAGTTATGAAATATTATGGGAGATTAGAATTATGATTAACAGTTGAATTAGATTTGAGGGGGGGAGGTTCATCATGAACTGATATCATCTATAATACCAAAATTCTATTTAGCCAAACGGATGTGCGAATTTCGCGGCAAAATCCAAGACCTGATATCTTATACCTGATTGGTTTGTCCCTTAACTTATCGTCTCTCCTTATTTTACTACTACAAAGAAAACAGATAAACAAATACTATAAGGGAATACCTGTCCAATAATACTTTCCCATTTTTAATGGTACCGTCTTAACTGTGATCCCTGTCCATAACAAAATAACATCTACAAATTAAAAATAGTACTCATAAAACCTTTACATCAAATTATAATTGGTTTATTGGATTAAGGTTACTTAGAGATTAGTTGACTTTTTAAGTATAGTTTTCATCAGCTTGAAGGAATTGTCTTTTGAAAGATAACTACTTTGTTATGAATTTAATCTATTCAGTATTATGTATCCATGACCATTACAGGGTTGTAAGCTATAGTTTAATCAACTGGAATATGAATGATACATGAAATTGATCTTGTTTCCGAATTATATATGACATGTATTCATTATACCTTAAGAAGAATTATATGTGTTCACATAGTAACTTAATGAATTACGATTGTTAAATACAACTCAGGTCAATTTGTACAAATCTGACTGTTAATCATATAAAATGTAATTTACATCATAAAGGGATTTTGTGAATATTATAGTAATTTTAGTAGCTGAGAAAATGAGTCATTTGAAGCTAGACCGCCATGAAAAATCTGGAAACACTGGACGACCATCTCGTCCTATTTTGGGACTCATCAGCAGTACACAACTATGATCCCGCCTCGCAAGATTCGACCCAGGACCTATCGGTCTCGCGCGCGAACACCTAGCCTTTAGATCACTGAGTCGGTATCCATCGGTGTTAATGTTTAACTTCAACTAATCCATGAAATTAAATGACACATCCACCATTGTCTTTAGTGAGTTACTATCTCACAACAGACCCGGTTGAACTCCACTGGTCAGTGCTTTTCACTAGAACTCCAGGAAATATCTCTTGAAGCCAGTCACTAGTGAGCATATTGTTAATTAAAATCAGAGAGGCTTTTGTGAATATTATAGTAATTTTAATAGTTATGATCATGAGTCATAAATGCAAACAAAAAAAAACCCTGCTCAGTGATCTAGAGGTTAAGCATTCGCTCGTAAGGCGGGATTGTGGATGCACACTTCTGAGGAGTCCCACAATAGGACAAGATGGATGTCCAGTGCCTCTAGGTTTTCCATGGTGATATAACTTCAGTTATCTCATGATCTGAACTATCAAAAATGTGATTTATTCTTTAATCATTTCGACTTATTTTGAAAGTGAAATAAATCTTTATCAATCAGTTTTAGGTTTACACAGTTTGCTCATTTTCTCTTCTATTCAACTTGTTGTGTATATTTAGTTTTGGGTTATTAGAAGAGGTTAGGAAATCAAATCAAGAGTTCATTTAACAAAATGTATCATTAACATTTTGATTTGTGGCATTAATATACTATATAATTAACTTATTATTCACGTAATTGAGTATGAGCCAAACTATAAATACGAGAGATTATAATATTACTCAGCTATCGAAACCAAATTAGATAGATAGGAGTTTAGACCTGGGATTTTGTGGATGACGATCGAATGACTTAATCAACTAATCCACTGAACCACAATATTGTGGTAAATAATTAATTCACCGTAATTCATGAAAAGATAAAATCCTATCATCTGTCAATGATACAAATAAAAACAATATAAAGCAATATAAAAGAACACAAAGCCAATACCTAATAAATATCCATATTATTATTTTTGTTTGAATACATAAATATCGGTACAAAAGGGAACCAAATGGATATACGCCACACAATGAACTTGATTTGTGTGTGAAATGCGATACTGCTCGAGTGCCCAAAACGAAACAGGTGGTTTTTTTTAGGGGACCACACTCAGATCGTTCGACCTAAAGGTCTGATCTACAAGGCATTCGAGCATCGTAAGGAGATGCAGTTTCATGGTAGCCAGCCGGTGACCAACGATTGGTTCATACGCCATTTGTTCCCTCAGGATCCTGGATTCCATATGCGGCATTAGTTTGAAATCAGGGTTTTCCAACTCCCCGTAAGTGAACTCTCCGTGTCCATCAATCTTGTTAAAAAGCCGGATATTCAGTTTTCGTCCTCTCAATTTCGTAAATAACATTCTCGCCTTGAAAAGGGAGTGAGTAGGAATTCTCTGTCAGTGGCTGTATACGCGTGGCCATCTGAGAGCATTTCGAGAAGGAGAGCTGATTCTCTCCACCCTCGATCGTATTTGAGGGGGGGGGTAAATATACACAACACAAATATTTACAATAATCCACCGTAGAAAAGTTCTCAAAATTTCACTTTTCATTTATCCACCCTTGTCTGATAGCTAACTTTCCAATTGTGAACAAGACTCAGGTAGCGGAAACCAATCTATTGTTTAATACATAATTACAGAGCTCTTTAGTAAAATATAAAAATCATACATTGAATACTTCACAATTCTTTTCTATTTTCTTCAATTCAATCTTCTTACCCTTATGCTATCAGTTTTTTTCTCACTTCCGATTAATGTTACATACTACTTATATCAATAGATATAGAAATTTCATTTATTCTTTTTTATGTTGGGATGATCCAGGAAATTTCTCACAAAAGACACTCAAGGATCAAGAAACATTAAGAAGCATCTCATCCAATCAGCGTTCACTTGAAGTTTTAGCCAGAAACATCAAGGATGTGAAACGTCACATATAGAGGGTCTGATTGACTGATTGTTATACTGCTATAATGTTTAGTAGCATTCCAGAATCTTCGAGCAACCCAAAGCCATTTAGAATATTATAAAAAAAACCCATGTTTTCTGTATTAAAACCAACCTTGAAGTAGAGTACTTTTCGCATACTTTGCGCTTTCTCTCTCTTATGTTCAGGTTGCTGTATAGTTCTAGCTTGGGGGTTACCAGAATAGCTTAGGAACCGAGTATAGCGTTCAAATGGCAAGATTTATCATTTTATGATCCTTCAATTGTAAAATCTTATCCTAAATATGATCAAATTTATCTATAAATGTATTTATGCTTTTTTTTTCATTCTCAGGTAAATTTAAAAACCAAGGCAACTGAAAGCGTTCGAAGTCCAGTGAAAAATTTAAATGTAAACATTGAACTACTTTTAAATTCAATCATTGAAAATGGTTTAAAATGGATATCTGAAGTAATAATAAACCTTTATTGTATATTTTTAATTGTAAATCTATGTTTTTCTTTCTTATATATTCAGTTCACTGCCCCCCCCCGTCAAATACCTTGATACGGCTGAGAGTGGGGTTAGTCAACTCTCCCACTCCAAATGTTCTCACATAGCTACGCGTATACAGTCACTGATAATGAAGTCCTACTCACTGCCTTCTCGTGGCGAGGGTGTTGTTTACGAAATTGAGAGGACGGAAAGCGAATGTTTGGCGTTTTAACATGGTTGGTGGATATGGAGGATCCATCCAACGACGTTGAAAAACCCTAATTCCTAACTAATTGTGCAGATGGGATCTAGGATCCTGAGAGAACAAATGGCGTATGAATCAATTACTGATCACCGACTACCATGATACTGCATCTCCTGACGTTGTTCCACTGCCTTGTGGATTAGACGTTTAGGTCGAAGGCTCTGTGTGTATGGTTCTTTAAGAAAACCACCTGTTTCGGTTTGGGCACTCGGCACACAAATCAAGTTCATTATGTGGCTTATATCTATTTGGTGCCTCCTTGTACCCATGTTTATGTGTTTAAATAAAGTAAATATTGTGTTAACTGTTGTAAAAACCTAATCTACTATGATGATAAATAGATTGAGGCTGATTATTATCCCTTTATCTAGTAGGTTTTACTATCGCTTATTTCAGTAGTATTACTAGTACTACTACTATGGTACTTATCTTAACAATTTCATCTTGTTGTATTGATTATATTGTAGTAATTTGAATCGATTCATGTTTGTGTATGGTTCTACATTGTTTATAACTAACTGATTGATTGACTTATTAAACGGTTGAATTGAGTAACATTCTTTAGAAAGACACTTAAAACTTCATAATTGAATCATACATCTTAAAAGATACTTGTTCATCAATACTAGATCACTGTAATCAATTTCAAGGAAATATATCTATCTATGTCAAGGTTTAGTTATTACTTCCATTTTGTAAACTTCGTTGTTCGTTTAACCCATTAGAGTAGATTACGAATCATAATTTTTCTTTGAGTCTGTTAGATATAGTTATTGATTTTCATTGAAATTATGAAGCGATCAAGGTTAGACCACCTGAAATTCCTGAAAGGCCGTTTTGTCCTAATGTGGCACTACTCAGTGTTCCTTATTCATGACCCTATAATTTAGAATCAAGTTCGAAACTTTCGATATCGCGCTTGAAACGCTTAATCTCTAGACCACTAAGCCAGCATCAAACAGTGTTGGATTAATTGAAATCAGACTTGTACATCATTAAATTTTTACTCAATCATCTAAAGGTTAAGCGTTAGCGAAGGTCCTGGGTTTAATTACAGGCCTTAGAATCGCAGATACGGACTGTTAAGGAAGCTATTTAATTGAGATTATTATAATCTAAGTAAATAGTGATCTATGGAAAATCTGGATAATAGTGACACTCTCTGTGGATATTTCACTAACTATTGAGGACCTTACTACTTCTGCTACTATGCCTTATTTTATTCATTAAGTATTTTCTGACACATTTCATCTTTGCATTTTGACTTGTGTACGCTAATTGACTCGCTGTTACGTACAGTGTTTTACATTTTGGTTTGTCTATCTATCTATACTGCTCAATTGAATTGTCTTTAGTTAATCATGGTTACTAAGTGACAATTCAGTGCATTCATGTAAGAAGCATACTGTATTCAGTGATACCACTGGTTAACTGAGAGAGAGTTAAGTTTCATAACGAACGTGATTACCATTTAACACAAAAATTGCTAGATTTGAAGCTTTCACGAGTTCACTTAATCTGTGAACGAGAAACAAGACTCGGTGACCAAAGACCAGTAAGCTAGCTATTTATGCGTTTCAGCCCCACTATCTAGAGGGAGAAATCCAAGCTTAGAATGGGAAGTATATTCTGCAACAGCGAGAAACAAGCGAGCACAACAAACAATTTAAAAACGTATATATATATACAAATATATATAATCGATATTGCCATGGAACTTTTAAACATTTAATCGATAAGTTCGTCAATCGACTATGTGCGCGGGTGGTAAGAGATGCTCACGCATACATCTGCATACAAGCTCCACAAAGATACAATTACAAAAGATGAGTTTTGGGAATCTATTGTCCCCAACAGAAATGTATTAAATTCGGTATAGAATGGATGAGATAGTCTTTTCTTGATTTTATCTCTTCTTAACTTAATAATCTCATGTCCCCATATGCCCTGGTATGGCCGAGAGTGGAGTGGGTTCGCCCTCCCCCTCGAAACACTGTCACACGGCCACGCGTATATAGCCTCTGCCAACGAAGTCCTACTCACTGACTTCACGTGGCGGGGGTGTTATTTACGAAAATGAGAGGACCAAAACCGAATGTCCGACGCTTTAATGGGATCCCAAACCAATGGTGCACATGGGCTCCAGTATCCTGAGGGAACAAATGGCATATGAACCAATCGTTGGTCACCGGCTTCCATAGGACTGCATCTCCTTACCATGCTCCACTGCCTTGTGGGTTAGACCTTTAGGTCGAAGGCTCGGGGTGTGGCCGCCTAAGAAAACCATCTGTTTCGGTTTAGGCACCTGGGCAGTATCTTAGCCTACACACAAAAGTGTGGCGCATATATATTTGGTGCCACCTTGTACCAATATTTATGTGTTTAAATAAAAATAAATAAATTATAATCTTATAGAAACTGAATAACCAAATCGACTTAAGAATTCTTATGTAAAACGAAATATATATATTTTTTGTTATTCGTTAAACTACTACTAAACTCTATTTTAATTCAGTAGTATACAAACGTTTTGAATAAGAATATTATTCTGAAAATTCCCATTTGGACATTTGATAAATACAGAAGGAACGAATTGAGCGAAGAGATTTCTTTTCAATTAATTTTTCATCATGGCTCTACACTAATATATATATGATTTACAATAATGATATAATACTCATTGAGTGGATACATTACATAATAATTACATAATAACATTTAAATTAACATCTAGTATTTTGGGAGGAAGATGATTAATATTCAAAGTAATTATTAAGTTAAGAAGTTGCTAAGTTGTATAATCTATGAAAAAGAGAAGGAACAGAATTTGTAATGGTTGGTCAATAGAATAGCAGTTACGTAAGAATCAAGAGATGACTGTTGAGAAATTATAAAGTTTAAAAGAAAAGGAAAAAAAAAACCAAAATTAAAAACTACAAACCAAATGCTATAAGTATGGAAAATAGTTCAGTTAAATGGAATGTTATACAAATGGCCAAGGCAGCGAAAGTGGTTGGACAAATTTCTTCTGAATTCAAAGGTCAGATTTGTGAACATGGATTGCGATGGCTTCCGCATTGTGCAAATAGCGCACTCGTAAACCACGTGGTAAATTTGATGAGATATGGTAGATAACCTTAAAAGCTTTATTCAATTCAACTTGGTGACCTGTGTCAACCAAATGAGCGAGAATAGAACTTTTAATCACTTTTACCTGTCCTTTATTTAGCCACGATGGATGATGTTCTGTAATGCGGTGACGAACTTGCCGAATTGTACGCCCTATATAACTGGCTCCACAGGAGCAGTTGAACTGGTAGATACACATAGATTTGGCGAATTCAGGCAGTCTGTCTTTGCTAGTCGTTCTTATTTTGGGGTAGTTATAAAAGATAGTATTCAGTTTGGCTGCATTAAATGTTTTTTGTACAGCTCTTCTTAGTTTCTGGGTCACGATCTCTTTAGTAGTATCATTTATGTATTGTAATTTTATGAATAGTACTTTCTTCAGGACCGTGGGTATCTTCGCTTTTGGTTTCTTCTCCATCATGTGTTTGTCAATGAATTTCAAAGGGTACCCATTCGTACTGAGTATGTTCCAAATGTTAGCTAATTCTTCTTCAATGGTGTCTTCCGAACAAATCCTTCTGGCCCTATGGGTCAAGATCTTTATCAAGTTCCTTTTGTATCTAATTGGCACTGCACTGTAGAAATGGGTGTATTGTCCTGTTGCCGACTTTCTGTGTAATCCTCTTTTTAAAGTCCCATCTGCTCGTCTGGTTAGTTGGACATCTAAGAACGATATGCTATTATTCTGTTCATCTTCTGATGTAAAATTAATAGATGGGTGAACGTTATTAAATGTATTAAGTAAATTGTCTTTATCACACTCTTTTTCTAACACTATGAAAGTATCTTCAATGTAGCGATAATAAGTTGGTAAGTGGCTAATAGTGCTTCTAAGTGGTCCATTTTCCAGTTTTGCAAGGAAAATGTCCGCTAGTAGAGGGCCCAATGGTGACCCCATGGCCACCCCATCTATTTGTCTATAATATTCATTGTCGAATCTGAATTGCACATTCATTGTGCATTTGAGAATTAACCGTTTTAATGCGGATATTCTTTTTTTTTCTTTCTTTTATTTGAACACTTTCCTCTAATAGAATGATTTAATTACATCTAATCCTATTGTAACCAATATTATTGAAGGACAAGAAGATCAATTTATTCATTCAATGAATAATTTTCAACAAACATTAACATTCTCACAAACATGGTCATGGATTTATGGGAATTCACCAAGTTTTCAATTAGCATTAGAAAATTATGAACCTAATTTATCTTATCTTACTAATCAATATGGTTCTATTCTAATCGATTGTAATCGTGGTGGTATATTTCAATCGATTCAATTTGATCATTCTCATCATTGTAATATAGATCTTTCATTAAAAGAATTTTTATCTGAATTAACTAGATATCTTTATGGTACAGAATGTCGAACAAATTCATGGGATTTTATATTAGATCAATTTATATCGAATAAACTTATACAACTAAATGGTGATAATCTATCTAATGAACAATTATTAATTATTAAAGCATTAAAAATCATTTCTAGTCTATTTTAATATGATTTTTTTTTTTTTAATGTATTATAATCATATGTCTAGTTTACTTTTATTGGAATATATGAGATATATGAGCATTTGTCTTTCTGTTAGGTTGGAAACAGTTACGAGTTTACTTAGTATACGAACAAAACAATGACTTGTGACCAAAGACCAACTAGTGGAAGATGTACAGGCTTGGAATAGGGAAGTATATTCTGGAAACAGTAAGAAACGAGCGATAACAACAAACACAAATCACAGGGCTATGCGTATACGGCCTCTGCCAGGGAAGTCCTACTTAATGACTTCACGTGGCGGGAGTGTTGTTTACGAAAATGAGAGGATGAAAAGCGAATGTTCGGCGCTTTAACCGGATCTCAAACCAATGGTGCACATGGACTGGCCCCAGTATCCTGAGGGAACAAATGGCGTATGAATCAATTTCTTGATCACTGGCTTCCATGGGACTGCATCTTCTCACGATACTCCACTGCCTTGTGGATCAGATCTTCGGGTCGAAGGCTCGGGGTGTGGCCCCCTAAGAAAACCACTTGCTTCGGTTTGGGCACCCGGGCAGTATCTCAGCCTACACACAAATATAATGAAAATGGTAATATTCACTAAAATGACCATTGATTAGTCACTAGTTCTGATTGATGGACTATCAATTGATAAGTTAGGTTACTAATTAGTAGTCGATACATATATGTATTTATTCATATAATCCCCATTTCTATGGGAGGTCGGTCGCATCCCAAATAGCTCAGTGGTAACTTTTTGGGTGACAGATTGGAATCTCTACATCGCAAATACGCTGTACCGATCAGTGCCAATCAATATGAAACCTAAGCCTAAATTCTCTTAACACTATTAAATCGTCCTTTTAAAACGTTAGGCGTCTGAAAATATGATTCATTAAGTACAAAATTGCTTAATAGCTTTTTCGTTGTAATAGGAGATTGTTCTGATGTATGACCCTACAGGAAAGTGAATGCATGATGTTCTATATATTGTGACCATCGATTCATATTTTCAACTTCAAACAATACGTTATGTCGTTTGGTCTCTATCTAATATCAACAGTCGATAGTAACCACCTCTTTTAACTTGATCAATCTAACAAATTACACCTTCCCAAAATGATATCAAGGATCAGTGAAGCACAAGATAGATATTTTTACAACTAACTATAAATCCTCAACACTAAAAACAACAGAAGTTTTTTAGAAATTTTTAGTAATTTCAATAGTTGAAATAATGAGTCAATTAAAGCTAGACCATCATAGAAAACCTGGAAGCACTGGATGATTGTTTCATCCTAGTGTGAGACTCCTCAGCAGCGCGCATTCACGGTGGCGCAATTTCGTGGATTAGTTACAGTTAGATATGAACACTTTTGGATGCCGGCTCATTGGCCTAATAGTTAAGCACTCGTGCGCGAGACTGATAAGTCCTGGGTCCGACTCTCGCGAGAGGCTGGATCGTGGATGCGCACTGTCGAAGAACCCCATACTAGGACGAAACATTCGTCCAGTGCTTCCAGATTTTCTATGATGGTCTAGCTTCAACTGACTCATGATTTCAACTACTAAAAATAACAACAAAAATAAAAAGAACTCAAAGCATTTTTATTCAATTACCATTCATTATCTTTTCTTTTTTGAATGGCAAAAAAAAACACCACAAATTGACAAGGTAACACACTTACTTACTTACACACACACACACACAAGAGCAAAATTACTCAACAATTAAAGAGTAAATCAAATCAATTAATCAGAAAAAAAAGAAAAAAATAAATAAATATGATCCAAATGGCAAAAGAACCATTCAAATGGATCAGTGTACATATACATATACATATAAATATGTATAGACAAAAACAAAAAGAATCGATTGGGTTCATGGAACAAAACAGGGAGATCAATCCATTGATCGATCACAAAGCGGATACTTACATTTTAGTATTAAAAAAAAAACAAAAAAAGAAAGATACACAAAGTTATTTTTTTCATACCAATAATGATAATAGGAATCAATAGGATTAGAACACTTAATAATATACTACTAATTATGAATAGACTATTGATATTTGTCAATATACAATGAAAAGAACTATTGATGAATAGACATTACACACATACACACACACAAAAGAGAGAGAGAGAGTTGCGTCACTTATTTGTACTAAGCATTAATGAAACTCTATGTAATAACTATTCAAAGTAAGTAAATAAATGCTATGAAATAGTTCAAATAGTGAAGAAGATTTGTAGTTCAAGTAGATGATATTGATAAAGTTTTGTTCTTTGAACTGAATAGTTTAGTTGTCGTTCTTCTGAACAACATTAATTAGCACAAATTTCAAAATAATTCACTTCTATTTGAAGTTTGTACTGAGTGATATTGTTCAGAAGAACGTTGAAAGCTCTCTACGATCAAACTATTCAACTCAAAGTACTCATTTGATAATAGATATCAAGTAATAACAATAAAAAGAATATTCAATACAAAAAAAAAATGTGAAAATATTAAAGATAATGGAATGTATATCATCATCATCATCATCATCATCTATTATTGAACACTATCATCTAATAGTTATAGCAACAACAGGACAATACATAGATCAATAATAATGAATGAATGAAGATATTAGGAAACTTTAAATTGTTATTGTTGTTGCAACAATCTAACATGATAGAAATAGTGAAAGTAAGTTAACATAGATTGTGATACATTAAAAGTAAGTACACATACAAAAAAAAACACTTTGTACACACTATTACTCTTATTACATAATCATTATGATATGTATATGTATATTAAAGAAAGGGTGGGAGAATGTGTGTATGTGTATGTGTGTGTGTGTGTGAAGAACAATGATTCAAAATACAAAATGTTTTTCACATTTGATTATCATTTGAGAAAAACTCAATAAAAGGCATGATTATGTTACTTGAGATCTGAAATTCACTACACACACACACACACAAACAAACAAACAAATCAATACAAGATGAGTGAGTAGAACTAGCAAATACAATGGACTATTTCATATTTCTCAACAGAGTATCGAGAGTAAAATAGTCTTCGTCTTGTTGTTGTTGTTGTTAATGATCATGATCATGATGATGATGATATGTATGTTTTATGCTTATAAAAATAAGACAGAATATATCCAAAATGATATCAGTGGTTATGTGATAATACACTACTAACTAAGCATAACGACAAGAACAATAATAATAATAATAATAACACAAATTTAATTATAAAACTTTAAGGCACAATTTCCAGATCAGGATCAAGAAGAGGTGGGGGGATACACACACATACACACACACAAACAAACAAACAAAGTGAATTCTTGAGATTTTAGCCGTTGATATGTATGTATATATCATGTTTTACAAATAAGACTGAATATAACAGTCTTATTAAAAATAAATTTATAAATAGTCAACGTATCAAAATAATGAGCAGGGCAGAGAGAGAGAGGCGGTGGAGGAGGGGGGGGGCAGTGGGGGTTTTATTTTTGCAAGTAACCAAATATATAAAAATGAATATACACAATTGTTAGTTGATTGTATCTTGACAATTCAAGAAAAACAACCGGAAATTATAGTGCACAAAAGATTGTAAGTAAGTTAATATATTGGATAATGTAGATAACCCATTAATGTTAATGATGAATTGATGAATGTTTCGGTGTAATTAATTTATCCATTGGAAATGAGACTATTAATGATGCTTCTTGCATAGTGATTTGTTGTTTTCTGTATAAAAATAGAAAATGTAAGAAAGGATTAATGTTATAGAAATGTTCTTCTGGATATAAAGTTCCTCAGTCAGTCAATATTAAACAATATAGAACCTAATGTATATGTGCAATCTGAACTAATGTTATCAATTGACTGTTGGTTACAACCTTAACCACGTAGTTTCGATCTAGGCCAATATTCAGTAGTCTTCTAAATGGATGTTATCTATTAATTTAGCTGCCCCTAATTTTATTTCAACATAATCTTACATCAGTAAATGTGCTTTAAAGTAGAATTTATTTATTTATTTGAACACATAGATATTGGTATAAGGACGCTGCAACTACATATGCGCCATACAAATCTCATTTGATTTGTGTGAGGGATGTGATACTGACCGGGTGACCAAACTGAAACAGGTGGGTTTTTTTTAGGGGGCCACACCCCGAGCCTTCGACCTAAAAGTCTGATCCACAAGGCAGTGGAGCATCGTAAGGAGATGTAGTCCCAGTGTAGCCAGTCGGTGATCAACGATTGGTTCATACGCCATTTGTTCCTTCAGGATACTGGAGCCCATATGTGCCATTAGTTTTGAATGAGGGTTTTTCAACTCCCCTAAGTAAACTCTCCATGTCCACCAACCTTGCTAAAGCGCCGAACATTCGCTTTTCGTCCTCTCATTTTCGTAAAAAAAACGCCCGTGTTGTGAGAGGACGATGAGTAGGACTTCCCTGGCAGAGGCTATATACGCGTGGCCATATGAGAGCATCTCGAGAGGGAGAGCGGACTCTCCCCATTCTCGGCAGTACCAGGGCATTTGGGGGCAAACTGAAAGCCAGTCGCCTGTCAGAACCCGGGATGGAACCGGCGACTTTTAGATCTTCAGTCTAACGCTCTCCCAACTGAGATATTCCGGCGACTTTGAAGTAGAATATACATAATGAAGACCAGAACCACTGCAATCGGTGAAAATTCAATATTTATCAACTAATTTCTTATTTTACGTTTAGGATTAACAATTTTCACCCGATGGTTTTAGGATAAATTAGCAATTATTTGGAGATGTCAAACATTAAGAACCAACCCATTAGGATTACAAGGTAACTGACGTGACATGCGCGGCCTAACACCAAACTCTACGGTCCTCCATAGAACAAAACACAAGCCGTGACATCTAATTTTGATCAAAGTTGATCAATTTTAAAGGAACTTCCTTATGTTTGATTACAGTGAAGAGTTCAAGAGAAAGCATAAACATTACTATAACAATGTGGTAAATACACCAGCATACATCATTAGTAGATCTAATGCAATAATAATTCACATATAGCTCCAATGTTTGACAATGTAATAATGACAGTTTTTTAGTGTTATAACTATAAACTGCCTATGTTGTACCATCTCTAACAAAGGAGTGAGAAACAGACAGATGTCAGTTCTGTACAGCTTTGTTCCATACCATAGTGCCATGACATAAACTGACCATTTCTGTTTTTTCCAACCAGTCCTAGAGTCAGTAAATAATCCACGACGGCCGTCCAGTGCTTCCAGGTTTTCCATGGTAGTCTAGCTTCAATCGGTTCATGATCTCAACTATTTAGAAAAGATGTACTAGACAAACATCTAGGGAACTAGAAATAACTGTTGTTATCAAGATATGTAGTAGACATAAGTTTCATTTCTCCATGATATTTGGTAGAAATCCAGATTATATGAGATCGCTCTTTAGCGAAAACCAAAGAACACTGGATAACTAACTGTTCAGCTTCACACACTCACATAGATAAACACGATAAACTAATCGTTATACGTAATTCATTCAATCAGTGATAAGCAAACAACATAGAACCTGATACATATGTGTATCGGTTGCTGAATTACATCAGTACAGTGGGAGGTTCATCAAACAACTTTTCTGACCTTAACAATGAGTATAATAATCGACACACTGATATACACAGTATTCAATATAAATCAGCTAAAACGAATCCAACACAATCTCAGTGACCCAACAACTGTAATTTGTCTTGTTCCAACTTATACAAAATCTAGGAGATCTATTTAGAACTTCTTGTCAATTCCCTTCATATACTTTATACAGAAATGGAATACAGTTGACGATGAGACTTTCAAGTTTAGTGGTTACATATTGCGTAATTGATCGATGCAATAATCTGAAGCGCACACAATAACGACGGTTTGAATTCATTATTTAGAAAGAGAATACAATTTAAAACATGCAGTAAACATGCACAAAATTGAAGTCATCCACATGAGGCATGAGTGAGATAATCTATTCATCATTAGATGAATCTTAAAAATAAGACAGAGCAAACGTTAAGCATTTGTCGATAAACCTGAATACGATTTCAAATGTAGTTCTGGATGTGTACTACTTCTGAAGAGTTCATATAATAAAATGGAACTGTTGTTCACTGTTTCATAGTTTTTAATGGTTGTTTTAATAAAATCCATATAATTAACTCATTATAATATATAATTCATATTCACATTACCTATTATTTATATAATATTCTGATTTTCGACCATCTTGTAAACGACGATGATGACGAGGAGTTGACATAGCTGAATGACTAGAAACTAATGGTGCTTGATAATAATGAATAGATTCAGGTGAATTTGTTGTTGACATTATTGTTGCTAATGTGTTTGTTGTTGTTGTTGTTGTTGTTATATTATCATGATGATTATGTTGACTTTTATTCAATGGTAGATGAGCATGTGTTGAACGTGAACGATGAGGAGATGGAGTAGACTTTTTATAATCTTTACTTATCTGCTTAGAATTCATGTAAATAGCAGGTGTCTGAAATATTGAAAAAAAAAAAACATATAAGAAATTTCAATTTATGAATGTTACAGATACGATACTAAATTTCTCTACATTTACTGTAGTCAGTCAGTCAGTAACAACGTGGAACTTCGAGTTACCATACCACATTAGCACAGAGATTCAGTTATCGATTCAAATCCCGTAGTGGTAGAGGTAGTGAAAGTATAAGTAGTAACACGGAACATTAGGGTTTGATGATGTTATTCAAGGAGTATAATCCAGTGGAATAAATTTGGAAAGAAAATAAACGACATGAAGAATTTAGAAGATTAGAATTTGGGAGATCACAAAGAGTGGATGCACCTGCGCCATCGCAAACGATTTTCAGCCATGTCATTCAAGATCTCGAACCATCGGTTGCTATCATCTCGCGGTCCCCAATCAGATAGTCTACACCTATCAACATGACTCAGTCCACTTGTCAGTGACTTCATGGATTTGTGCCATGTTTTGGTCTGACCGCACCTAGCTTTCTTCCAACCTAATCCTACACCATAAAACATAGCACGTCGGGACAGTCGGTGGTCGGGCATACGTAACACATGTCCCAGCCATCTCAACTGATTAAGTTTCACTACTTCATCAAACGATCCGCCATCCTTACGTAGTACCCGTTTCCTAACAACTGAGTTGCTTACTCGGTGGTCCCAGGATATACGAGCAATGTTTCGAAGACATTTATAGCATTAAATATTAAACAATAATTATAAATATAAATCTATAGTCCAGGTAAATGATGTCATCGAAAATGAAAAATCTGTTCTTGATTGAAACATCTTCACATTGTTTCATTGCAAAGATTCATTTGGAATTCATAAAGAAAATCCAAATAACGATGACTGGGGTTATCAGTGATGTTAAAAGAATTAGATTGTTCAATAATACAGTAGTGAGAGTACATCATATGAAGCCTTTGAATACAGTTAATAAAGTAATTCTGGTTACAGAGAGCATTTATAGTATTTAATCATAACTTTTTGGAAACAGTTTTCATCATAGGACCATTAAGAATCAGACTTCACTGAAGAGATGTTTCATTATAGTTTGCAACTACTCAGCCCAATCGTAGTTGTTATCTTAAAAATATGGTCGAGTTTGTTTACTGTAATGACCTAATTGAGCAAAATTGACTGAAGCATTCGTTTTGTTAGTACTTACCATCTCAACAAGTTGGTTGGATAGCGTGGTAAGATTAAAACGAACTAACTCATGATTTGAAGGTAAGGTCGAACTCCCAAAAGATTAAGTGTGGGACACAAGTGATAAGTTTCCACAAAGAAAAAAGTCGAACTCATCTTGTTCCACACATTCCTGTTACAAGTCATTAAATTTGTAAATCATAATTCTAACAAATTTTGTTGTATCCCGATAAGAATATTGAATGGTAATTCTTGGGATCCAATTATGGACCGATATTATGAGTATATTTTTACCGTATAATTGTCACGTAACTAGTCTGTTCATATCCATGTCCCTCTTATTATGAGTTTTATTTCGACCTAGGAACTATCATTGTACGACTTACCATTCTTGAGTTATGCCCTATCTATTGATTCCTATCTCCCTCATTCACAGCCACATCTGGCTAATTATTGTACGAATGTTGTTTCATATTTTATTGGTACGTTGTGGTCTGTTTGATCGGTATATAAACCGAGTGTGTTTGAAATATAATGATTCATATCTCCGAGGCTGAGACTTGTGTTCTGGACTTAATTGGCTGGGCTAGACAGGGAAGCAGGACCAATCAGAGCTCTAGATTGCTCGCAAGTATTTTGTGCGTCACTGTTTCGATCGATAATAGGCTGCTCTCTAATAGGCGGATCACACGTTATAACAATTGGCGACGGGGTAGAAAAAAATTTCTGAACCCTCAATCTTCAACGTTGACCTGTAATTGGACGAGATTCAGTCTAATTATTTCGAGTAATCAGCATTCAGTTTTGTCATCGGCGTCCTTGAAAGACATTGGTCGTTAATTAATCATACAACATTTCTCATCACCGTGCTGATTCAAAAAAATGGCTATCTGTCCCGATCAATTACAATTGCTATTTGAGCGACAAACGCAGCGGTTCAAAAATAGCCAGCTGAATGTTTTAGACAATTTACGTACACGGCTGCTAAATCACCCATGTTTTGGAGATGTTACAGAAGTTGATAAATTAATTTCTAATTTGCATACGGAGCTGGAAACGGAATGCAGTACATATGAATGTGCTGATAAAAGCCTCTATGAATCCTTGATGAGCAGTAATGTAAGTGAAACAGTCATTCACGATGCGCCCAGTGATCCAGTAATGTCCATTTCAGAGACATGCCCTGTCGTGGGTTCAAATCCCACTGCCCTTGAAGCACCATGTACAAACAGCTCGCAGAAAGTCGACGTCTTATTAAACGATCATGAAATTCCTGCAGTACCCGCTCACGAAGAGACAGAAATTGAGTCAAGCATCATAATGACGACAGTTGCATCAAATAGAGTTTATCATTCCAGAACAAAAGTTCCTGATGAATCTACTCATTGGAGTTTTCTAGTTTTATCAAATATGAATTATCTCAATGACTCCTATGCTTTTGATGAAATTTACAAAATTGAGAAAAATTTGTCCAGTGCTTCAAACGATGATCAAGAACCTAATAAAATTTTGATAGATGCTGATTATTCTAGTGATCGACTATCTACTGATGAGCTTCTCCAGAAATCCGATGACAATGTTCCAGAAGAATCAAACTTTGATGACTTCATATCAAGCGACGTTGATCCTCACCATTTAATCAACTTTAGAAAATTTTCTGCTCAATGTGACAAATACTATTTAAATAAAGTCAAATTAATGGTAGCTTGGGTATATGAGGATCCAACACTGTTTCGTGGGGGAGGATGAACTCGGAAAATTTAAAATCCGGATATCGACTCCGGATCTCTTTCAAAAAGGGGAGGTGTTGTATCCCGATAAGAATATTGAATGGTAATTCTTGGGATCCAATTATGGACCGATATTATGAGTATATTTTTACCGTATAATTGTCACGTAACTAGTCTGTTCATATCCATGTCCCTCTTATTATGAGTTTTATTTCGACCTAGGAACTATCATTGTACGACTTACCATTCTTGAGTTATGCCCTATCTATTGATTCCTATCTCCCTCATTCACAGCCACATCTGGCTAATTATTGTACGAATGTTGTTTCATATTTTATTGGTACGTTGTGGTCTGTTTGATCGGTATATAAACCGAGTGTGTTTGAAATATAATGATTCATATCTCCGAGGCTGAGACTTGTGTTCTGGACTCAATTGGCTGGGCTAGACAGGGAAGCAGGACCAATCAGAGCTCTGGATTGCTCGCAAGTATTTTGTGCGTCACTGTTTCGATCGATAATAGGCTGCTCTCTAATAGGCGGATCACACGTTATAACAATTTAAAAGCATATGTGACTGTCCTTTAACAGATGTCCTATGAGCATTGAAGTTACACTTCTAAATCACTGAAATCACCTATTCCTATCACAATTTCCTATACATGCACTTCAAGAAGTAGTGTCTTCCTACGACATGGGTCAATGAAAACTAACAACTGCTCTCATACATTTAAAGAAATTGTTATCATTTTGTTTATAATCAACTCAAAAGTTAATATCCACGAACTCATCAAAGATACGATGATGTTATCAATACGTGATTTTACTACAGTTCCCTAAGTTATATATAAATACTATATGATTTAAAACTTCTCCTCAATTTGAGGATAAACTTTTACAATTAGATAAATTAAGTTTACTGAAATTTCCTTTACGAACCTGGGATTTAATGGAACTTTCGGAGAGAATACCATCCTGTTGGTTAGAATTTTTATGATGTTCATAATGATGATGATGACGGCGACGACGACCACGAGAATTGTCGTTAGTTACTAATGCATTATTGTCATCATGACCAGAATTTGATTTTTTAATACTTGTTGATAATACAGTTGGTTCAATAGTATTTAATGCTAAGCAATAAGCCGGAGATGAAGTTGTTGAAGTTATTTTTGGAGATAATGATAATGATTGATGAGTAGCTGAATGGGATGAGACAATAGATGTAGTAATTGATTGTGATGATTTTTTGTGTCTATTCTTTTTTGTCTCATTACTAAATATAGGATAATTATTAGATCGTTCTTCTGGCAATGGACGATATTTAATCATTTTGGAATGATTCGATTTTGTTGTTAATATAGGTGGTGTTGTATAACTAACACGAGGTGGTAACGGAGGTGGACTAATATCAGGTGGAGGACAATATGGATGATTTACAGAGATAGTCTTGTAATTATTATGATTATTATGCATTATATTCGGTGATATTGTTTTGTACATGGAATCATTACAAATTATATTAGAATCTATATAATGAGTAGTGTTGGATAATTTGGACTGACTAGATGAATGATTAACAATTTGCTGAACAGATGGAATAGTAGGAGGAGGAGGAGGAGGATTGGTATAACTGTTATTCTTATGAATTTTATCGATTAATTTTGTTGATGTTAAAAGATTACCAGTAAATTGATATTCTGGAACTGAAAGGCGTCTTAATTGTTTTTTAGATAGATTAGATGATGTCTCCGATAGTGCCTTAGATTGATCAGAATTATGTAATAAATATTCACTATTTAATTCTGATTCAGTTTTCGAATTACCAATTCTATTGAATGAAAAAAAAATCAAACAATTTTATTTATGGATGGTTGTTTGAATAAAAATTCAACAAACTACAATTGAAGAACATATGGAACTCAAAATAACTGTCTGTCAACCAATATCAAAGTCACAATCTTCAATACGAACATCAACACAGTTCTCTTGTATGGAGCTGAAACTCCAAGAACTACTACAACCATCATCAAGATGGTACAGGTATTTATCAATAGCTGTCTACGCAAGATACTCAACATCCATTGGCCGGATACCATCAGCAGCAGCCTTTTGTGGGAGAGAACAAACAAGCTTCCAGATGAAGAGGAAATTAGGAAAAGACGATGGAAATGGATAGGACATACATTACGTAAATCATTAAACTGCATTATGAGGCAAGCGCTAACTTGGAATCCTGAAAAGAAGCGGAAAAGAGGAAGGCCAAGGAACACATTACGTCGGGAAATAGAAGCAGACATGAAAAGGATGAATAATGACTGGAGTTAACTGGAAAGGATTACCTAGGATAGGGCTGGTGGGCAGCCTATGCTCCTTCATGAGGAATAACAGGCGTAAGTAAGTAGATACAATTAATTTATTCGAACCTACATTTCTTCTGGATTAAGTCCTAATTAATAAGTGGTAACAAATTTTTTTTCTTTAAACACATAAATATTGGTACAAGGAGGCACCAAATGTATGTGCATTACACAAAGTATTCACTTTGTTTTAGGGCTAGAACACTGTCCAAGCACCCGAAATAGAACTAGGTGGTTTTCTTAGGGAGACACTCCCCAAGCCTTTGATCTACAGGTCTAGTCAATAATGCAGTGTGTTATATTTCTCTCTTTTACGGTTGTAACCCAGCTATTCCTACTGCTTAGTATTCACGGACACAGATGCACTCGACAAGTCCCCAAATCAGAACACGGTTGAACAGGAAGGAGATTATATTCCAAATAACAAGGTTACATGGAAGCAAGAAGCACAATAGGAAAAACGTTAGTATATTTATAGTATCGGCTAGCGGTGATTGAATAAGAATTAGCCAATCAGCGTGCGCCAACGCAAGCGTGCAATAAGCATGATTTAATCCAATCTATGTCCCGTTAACACAGTGGAACAATGTTAGGAGATGCAGTCCCATAGTCTTCGGTGATCAACAATAGATTCATACGCCATTTGTTCCTTCGGGATTCTGGAGTCCATGTGCACCATTGGTTTAGAGTCATGGTTTTCCAACTTCCCTAGGTGGACTCTCTGTATCCACCAACCATGTTAAAGCGCCGAACATCGGTTTTCGTCCTCTCAATTTCGTAAACAACGGTAATGCCGCGAGAAGACAGTGAGTAGGACTTTTCTAGCAGCGGTTGTATGCACGTGGCCATTTGAGAGTATTTGGAGAGGGAGAGTTGACTCCTCACCCTCGACAGTACCAGAGCATTTGAGGGCAGTGACAAATAATAAATTAAGTCAGTAGTTTACAAATACTTTGTGGTTAAGAGTTTTGATTTTCAACCAGTGGGTCACAGGTTCGAGTCCCGCGCTATCTACTTGGATTCGGACAGTCGATTGGTATTGTAGTGAACAAGAATAAAAGCGAGGACAACCAAATGTATTTTAATACAATATTACAGAATATCTTTGGAAAGTCAGAGAACCATATAGTAAATACTTTATTTACAAAGTATCCGACTCATGGCCAAAATGTAGCGAACCGGAGTAAGGGCTAGACAAAACTTTATGTGACACAATTGGAAGCGGTCTACACTCATGAAATCCAGAGTAGAAGTCAATAACAGCAAGCAAATGACATATCTAAGAGGAAGTAAGTTGAGTATCTGTCTGCCTATGCTCACTCACTAATGGTCAATCACATCATACATTTACTGACCACATATCAGATCATGATATGTTAACTTATAAAATATACGACTAGTAAAGTTTAAAGGTCGAAAAAGAGATAACTTTATGCCAACCTAAAAAATATTATATGAATTTTAAAAGAAGTCGATGGGAATTGGACGGAGATAAATAGAAGCTTGAAAGTACAGTTTATAATATGTAGCTGAACCAAACAATAAAGGCTAGTAATGTCATGAGAGTCTATTTATAGATCGTATTAGAACAAGGGCAACTGAATAAACCTCTTACATAAATACATAATACATCAGGTTTCTTAAAGTTGATCACGAGAAAGCAGAATCTTGTATCTTCAGTTAAATTATTCGGCACGTTGTGTAAATCGGAGAAAGTATTCGCCATATTGATACAGTGCTCACTGTTTACACTTGAAAGGAAGGACAGAGATCTATTTTTCCTGTCATAAAGGCATCTGATGAGAAAGGATCAACTGATTTCTTTTCTTTACTTAGTACACTGCACTTCAGAATTGTCCACTCGATGGTCTCACTGTACACGAACAATGTTTCGAAGGTTTCTACGATCCGATAAATGACTTTCTACTGTGCATCGATTGTTGATAAAAAAAAGAACGATAAAATAGCTGAACAAGATTGGTTGGTCACTTACCTGAAGAGATTTTTTAAACTTATTCGTCCACTTTTACTTTGTTTTTGTTCAGTAGGAAGATTATTATTTGTAATAGAATGTGATGATGACTTTGAATCTTTGACTAAGACAGAATTATTTGAATGAATTTCTGGACGAGATTTCGAATGAGCACGTTCAGGTTTATCAATTGTTTTGTAAACTGAAGGAGAAGAAGAGAATAAAATAGAACATGTGGATTTTTCCGGCAAAGGATTGGAGTTTTTCGTTTTACTGGAATTTTTATGCTGAGAATTATTAGACAACTTGTCACGAGTGCCGCTTTCACTACGTGGACGATGTGGTGGTATGGGGGGAGCAGAAGATGATGGAGAGTATGTAGTAGTAGTAGTATCAGCAGTAGTAGTGGTAGTAGAAGTAGGGTAAAATGAACGATCTACAGCATGACGGAAACTAGTATTTTGCTTTCGATTTCTTAGAATTGGTGGTTGATCTAGCTGAGACTCGATGTCTATTTCCTCTGGATCTAAAAAAAATTGGGGATAAGAGGATAGGAAGAAAAAGTGGAAATTTCCCACATATGCGTAAGAAAATAACCAAATTATTTTTTTTCAGTTATAATCATGATCTTGAAATTGTTTAGGCCAACAAATATAATGGTCTAACAATGATCGGTTCAAGATTTAAATGGAATAACATTATGCTTAATTATCAACTCTGTTTGTTTTATAATGATGAAGACTCAATAATTACTGCTACCAGATCAACGATACCAAATCAATTGTGCTTAGTCATACTCGGTCAATAGGATATCCATCCTAGCTCTCAAACATATCAAAGGTGTGTTTCGTAGGCAAGGTGTACAAGTCATTTTATGTTTAATTTGCTCAAACATTTTATACTACTTATGTTAGCTTACAGTAATTTCATAAAAAAACTATAAAAAACACGCATATATATATATATATTGTATGTATTGATTAGGTTAAATGCAACATAGAAACAAAAGCAGTAATTAGATAGCCACAGCAACCACTTTATATAAACTAAGGAGAGGGGGAGGAATGCAGTGTATAACAAAAAGAAATCACACAAATATATGCATTTTAACGAGCTGAGATAATAAAAAAAAAAAAAAAATGAAACATAACTCGAATTATGCGAAACCATGATGTTAGAGTGATAGACAAAAATAGTATTATAGTTAATTAGTGGATACTTAATCAAAAAGCACACCATAAGTGAATTATACAAACAGACATTAGAAACTATGCAAAAAGTAATCATTTATGTACAACTACACATAAACATGAACCAAACAAAAATATTAGTAACTATGATGTATCATTGAAGATATGTAGGACATGTGTTTTCTAGTTAATTGATATATCTAATCAGGTCATTTATTTCTAGAAAGTATGAGAAAAATGCTTGAAAAAAAAGCCTAGTACACTGTTGATCGAATATAATCAGAAGAAAACAAATGCGATAATAATTAGAGATAATAGAATATAGAATTCTAAATATGCAAAATTAGTAACAGTGGTCTAATCGTAAAAGTAACTGAAATTCAGTCAGTAAATCATAAGTTCGAACCCATTTCTAACTATTTCAATCTGAAGTAAAAAAAAAAAAAACTACATAGCACTACTATCTATCTCTCTTATCAAGAGCTTGGTTCAAAATCTCAACTTAGAAAAATAACATGTGATCACTAGTGACTAGCTTCGTGAGAGAATTCTCGGAATTCTAGTGAGAAGCTATGACCAGTGGAGCTAATCCGTGTCGGGTAGAAAGACAGGTATCTACCTCAGTACAATGGAAGATAGTCGCGCAATTTCGTGGATTGGTTGATGTTAGACACTAACACCATTGAATGCCGGCTCAGTGGTCGAGTAGGTTAAGCGTTCGCGCGCGAGACTGAGCGCTCTGGGTTCGAATCCCGCGAGCGGGATCGTGGATGTGCACTGCTTAGTACTCCCATACTAGGACGAAACGACCGTCCAGTGCTTCCAGGTTTCCAACGGTGGTCTAACATCAGTCGATTCATGATCTCAATCAAAACTTAATAATCTCCACAACCCCAATACCGATAATTAGAAAAATAAGTTAAACTATTCATACGATAACAGAAGGATAGATTTACGACGACCCAATTGTATTATTATTTAACAAGTCATTGAAATCAGTATTCCTATACACGCAGACGCACACAGAAAAACCTATTGCTTAAAACAACAATTGTTGATAACAAGGGTTGGTTATTTGGTTTCGATTGACTACATTATTTATATCACACCCAAAGCTAGTTGTAATAAACTCATTCATCGAAAGCTGCAAAACATTCATGTTCCATGATGAGTAAAATGTCTTTAAATCAATAAGTTAGAAAACAATGATTACATGTTCCTAAATTCGTTTAATTGTATTCAGTGAAGTGACCATTACTGACATTCACTGTTTAAACATTGACATACAGAACTAGGTGTGTTTACATCAATTATACTTATAATTGGATCCAATATAACTCTATATTTCACTAACTTAACGATATGCCTCCAAATGCTCTGGTACGACTGAGAGTGGGGAAAGTCAGTTCACCCTCTCGAAATGCTCTCACATGGTTACGTGCATACAACCACTGCCAAGGAAGTTCTGTTTCACTACCTTCTCGCACCACGGGTGTTGTTTACGAAATTGAGAGGATGAAAACCAAATGTCCAGAGCTTGAACCGGGTTGGTGGAGATGGAGAGTCCACCTAGGGAAGTTGGAAAACCATCATTTCAAACCAATAGTGCACATGAGATCCAGTATCCTGAAGAAACAAATCGAGTATGAACCAATCATTTGTCACCGACTACAAAGGGACTGCATCTCCTGACGTTTCTCGAATGCCTTATGGAACAGACTTTTAGGTCGACAGCTCTGAGTGTGGCCCCTTAAGAAAACCACTTATTTCAGTTTAAGCACCAGAGTAGTATCACAGTTCATACACAAATCAAGTTCATTGTATGGCACATGTCTACTATTTGGTGACTCCTTGTACCAATGTTCATATGTTTAAATAAATATATTAATGATATCATCATCACAAGAGATAATAATTTAAATAAACTTTCAATACTCATATATCATTGAACTATGGTGTATATACACACATGAAGGGAGAACATATGATTAAATCAGAATTTTACCATATTGGTACATATAATGCAACATAACTAATTTAAACCATGCACTTATATTTATGTGTGTTAAATGAAGATAGAGAATATAAAATCACAGGATATATCGATTAATCAGTAGAGAAATATGAATACTAATGAGAAGATCTCCATGAATCATTGTCAATAAATATACAACATAGAAAATGAGAAGTAAACGGTTAAAATCAAAATAAGTAGTATAAATAGCAGTGGTAAATAGTAGTATAAATGGAGTGATTTAATTAACGTGACCAGGGGAGCTAATCCGTGTCGGGTAGAAAGACAGGTATTTATCTCAGTACAATGGAAGATAGTCGCGCAATTTCGTGGGTTGGTTGATGTTAGACACTAACACCATTGAATGCCGGCTCAGTGGTCGAGTAGGTTAAGCGTTCGCGCGCGAGACTGATCGCTCTGGGTTCGAATACCGCGAGCGGGATCGTGGATGTGCACTGCTGAGGAGTCCCATACTAGAACGAAACGGCAGTTCAGTGATTCCAGGTTTCCAACGGTGGTCTAACATCAGTTGATTCATGATCTCAATAAAAAATACAACTTAATAATCTCCACAACCCCAATAATGATAACGTGATTAATTCAGGAAATGCCTTATTATAATAGTTTATAAACTCATTCATGCATGCAAATAAACTTAGAATGATAAGTATTGATTAACGTGTACAATCTATATTGTTGTATGATAATGCATTAAATCAGTCAACTGACTGCCATAGTATCAGTTATAATACGTTTCGTGACTCAATCGTTCAAGCTATAAACATAATTTACATTCTTTGTAGATGTGTATTTCATTACGAACTGATCAGAGTTAAGAAACAGATATTGAAATCCCTGGAGTATAGTGTACAGTTGTTTCATCCCACTATATATATGAAACTCGTCATGAATAATTAATTTTTTTACGAAAATGAACAAACTCATCATATAATGATACCAATTAATAACACCATCTTAAACAAAAAGAACACACCAGTTTTAAATTGAATGACGGTGAGTTAACAAACAACGAATTACAGTCATATATATACAACTTCATTTAAGCTTTTATCAGATAGTATATTTATTGGTTATATCTGATGCTTATGGTAAACTTCCATAAATATCAAGAGAATATAGAACAAACTGTGGTTTAAATTCTTTGAAATCTTCAAAAACTTAAACAAATTCATCGTACAACATTGAAATCTGATATGTTCATTTGTGAATAAATCTCAGAGAGAGAGTTTTTGAGCATCTAATTGCAGGGAACGTTGCTTTGACAACACATTGAGTTTGATTTTAAACGCCATTGGCTAAGTATTTGTGATAAGGTGATATGCTTTCCTAGAGTAAGTTCATGTTACCTCAATTCTGACTGTTTTTGCACATATTGTTAAGCCTAGGATGTTAATTCATAACACTTGCTCGATTCGCCAATCAGAATAGTGATTATATATATTTTTTATCCCGAGTACGCTATTTCGTTTATATTTTGGTGTCTTTGAGTTCGGATAAGGAAAGACAACAGCCCAGCTTCTATTATTATTATTCTAAGCACACGTGGACATCTTTACAGATATACCGGAATATATCACAAAATTGAAAATCACCGTTGTACATAAACAGATTAAAAGTACCAGTGAATCAGTCAAGTAATAACTACCCGATTAGGAATAATTTCGAAATAATGTGACGTATATTAATAGTTAATGATTCAAATAAGAGCTTACAATAAACGGAAGACGAAAACATTGTAGTCTAGTTACCTAGTGATTATGAAACAACAGTACAAATAATAACAACTCAATCAATAGATTCCACAGTTATCACTTCTTCGGTCTCCATACGTCATCACACTTACTTCGATGATAAAATAATTAAAGTATAATTTCATAGTTGCAAAAAAGAATACAAAAATTCACTTAAAAACTGACTTCTACTTCGACTATAATGAATGTTTGTTCCAGGTAAGTCACGTGTAATAAAGAAACCAAGGAACATATGAAAAAGAAGCTAACACGAAGGATAAATCTTTACACTTTTTAATACAATAGAAGGATAAAATATAAATTCAATGTAAACTAGTGGAATTTAAAGCAGGCATATGTATGTGTGTGACCTTTATTACAAAACTTGCTTCAAAAAAGAAACTCGTGCTGAATAATCGTTCATATTTCAAGATCATTCGTGCAAGAGATCTGTGAAGATTGTTCATTGGACACTTTATATTACGGGTTGGCTTTGGTCAAACAATCATTACAAACCAGGAGATACTGACAACTATTTCTTCCCGAAAGGGATTTTGTTAAGAGTGATTAC